CTCGTTCTGCGGGCCCTGCAGCACCGCGTCGTGCTCGCACCGCGCTATCAGCACCTACCACACCAATTATAACTACATATAAAAATATTATAATTAATAAATTGTCTCTAAATGTAAATCATACGGAAAACCTAATAAAGTCGACATTATTGTGTATCGAAGACATAACAATATATAGGCGAGGCATATCGAACAAAAATTTTTCACCGGTACTTTCTCTGAAAGGTACTATCAGTTATCAAGTTTAAAAGTACGTAATAAAATCATTTTATAAAAGTATAATAAGCACCATATTTTATTATAAAATAAACTAAACAGTATCACAAAATAAAATATAAACATTTAAATATTATTTAATACACCTACATTTAAGTGATGATTGTGTGAAATGAATTAGGCTACGTAAGCAAAGAAAGCAAAAATGACCCTAAATTTCGTCGCGCGATTTTGAGCTAAACTATTTAACTACATTGTAGTCTTAGACACCAAAAATCAAAAAAATAAAACGGTCCCCACCTGCAAGTATTACCTTTCGCATAAAAAAGGATTATCAAAATCTGTCCACTAGGGGCAGAGTTATGCCGCAACACGGATAAAAAAAAAACATTAGACGAATTGAGTACCTCCTTCTTTTGGGAAGTCGGTCAAAAATGTCTCTAGTGAAGTGTCAATTATGCCTATTCTATATATTTTGAATATCTTTGTTTCTATTCAACAGTTTCATTATTTATGGTGTTTACTTACAACACCATTATTCAAGTTCCACTTGCGGTAGCGGTAGCCGACGGAGGCGACTTCGCCCTCCTCCTCCTCTGATACAAACGGATTGGCCTCCGGGAACTTGTACTTTGCCTCAGTAGCTCCAGATTTCAACACCTGCATTTTATGCGTTATTAAGATAATATAATTACTTGCATAAAATAAGATAAACGATAAACTCCTTTACATTATAATAGAATGTTACACATTAGACATATAAAAGTTTTTTTACAGATATACAATGAATTGATTTTTATAATTTAGTAAAAGGGTTGTTACGTCATCAAAAAATAATTTTGAGGTTTTTAAACTTTTAAAAGTGAGACAGTAAACAACACTATTGGCATTAGATTAATTTTGGTTAACAATAAACGATAAATTTTCACTTCTAATTAGCTGCTTAATTATGGAGTGAAAATTTCTCGACCTATTTCTTTTCTCTTGGCTTTTCTGAATAACGAAATAAACCTGTTGGCTGAAGTTGTGGTTAATGAATGTAGCTTCCAAAGCGAGGTTGCGAGGAGAGTTGATAGAGTTGCCATCGTCCGCGGGCGGCTCTATTGAAGTCTCGTTCACAGTCAGCAAATCGAACTCAGTGTTGTCGCGCTTGTCCAAGAACAACTTATCACCTGGAAAGTAAATTAAGTTGTTTTTAAATTTTCTGCAGATGGAGTCGCGGACGAAAACTAGTATACATAACTAATGTAAGCATGAATTAATTATCATTGTGTTAAAAAAATAAACAAAACCGATTTCTAGGTGAAAATTTCCAAGTGTTTGTGTACTATTTTGATGTAAAACTCAAAAACTTAGGACTAAATGACAGGTATTCCGTAATACAAAATAATAATCACATGAATCGGATCTTTCATCTCAGAGTTATTAATGTGAATATAAAAAAAAAAACAAACAAATTAGGAACTTTCTCCTTTTTGAAGTCAGTTATAAACACACAATTACTGCCTTATTTCCTGAGTTAGTTAGAAGCATTGAATAACTACACGAAACAATACTTACCGATTTTTTCGATTACAATATCCCAAGAGTAGTTGGATCGCGTGCAGCACATAATAGTTGCCAATATGGCGTCGGTCGCGTACACCGTCCCCATAGTCTTACTGAGACGTCTGATCACTGGGTCATCTGTAGTTGTCACCTAGTAAAGGAAAAATAATTACTCAACACTTTTACATTCTACAATTATAGTATCTAGTCGTAATATTTTTATAGAAATTAATTTCACTATGGTAGGCTAGTCATATTTTTTATTATGTTGTAACTTTTTTGCTTCCGTACTGTGTGGGATTAAAGATAACAAAAGTAAGTAGCATATTATTTCTTCCAGACTATCCTCTACATGTAATGTATGCCAAATGTAATCAAGATACATTCAGCAGTGTAAGCTACAAACTTTACGAACATCCCATCAATCTAAACTTTCGCATTTATAATATTAATGTGTAAATAAGCTCTGAATCTGTTTAAGTAAATGTCACACTTGTACTATGTTAATATTGAGCTGCAGTTTAACAACTTAACTATGTGAGCTTTTTGTAAGTTGCTGTTGATACTTATTCTAATTGGCCCAAACAAATTCAGGCTATGGGGAGGGATGAATTGCATGTTACAAGGAGAATGTTAGTTATGAGTGTGGAAGGGTACACCGGTAGAGGTAGACCTAGAATGAGATGGATGATTGCATAAAAGGTGCATGATCAAAAAGGGAGTGATGACTGAAATGACGTATGATAGTTATTTGGACAAATGCATGTTGCGCCGACCCTACGGGAATAGGATAAGGAGGATGATGATGAAATTCAGGCATGCATCATAAAATTTATGTAAAAAGTTACCTACCGTATGGAAGATACGGTCAATACGCTGCAATGGCTTCTCATGTTTGACATTAACACGATCATATCCCTTGTCATAGTACTCCAGTGTACCGGAGCATACAATATCTTCACCTGGAAATTGTATACATGAAATTGTAATAAAATTATGCATTGAGAAGACATTTAAAAATACATCAAACTTAAGAGATGTGAAAGTTATTTACATAAATAAATGTTTGAAAACCTACATTATTACTTTGTGTAGATATTGAAACTCCTTTCTTATTACAACTAAAGATGAATACATATAGAATCCGAGTTAAAAATGTTCTTACAAACCTTCCTTAATTCCTGGCAACGAGAGCTTAGCAAGACGAGGGAAGTCCATATCCTCGATTGTGACCCATGTGGGTCTAACAGTGACAGATGCATCTCGGATCTTCATTGGGGCACCACGCTGACCCCATCTCTTACCAAGCTTGCGATCTCGTTGCTGTATGAAATACCATAGCATCAATTAACAAATGCAGTTTGTTTAAACTTTTGAATTATACTGTGTAACTCAAAATTTAATTGAACTTTTAATTCCACATACTATTTCCCCATTTTGTCGAGGCCAAGACCTGCTTTGGGCGACTGCACCAGGGCAGTAAGTATTTAGCTATAGTCTGTATGTAAACAATCACTGTTTATAAGTCTGATCTATATCACAAGTACTAGCAAACTTATTTGCAGACAAATTTGAATTACATTTAATATTCTTTGACTATTTTGGAGTTCAGAAGTATATAATATACCTTGTTCAATGTAGTCATGCCTCCAGGTGTGCGAGCGCCTCTGGCACCACGACCTCTCTGACCACGGCCTCGCCCGCGTTGATATGGTGGCTTCTGAACTCTGGTTGTATCAACCAAATGGAAAGTACTCTCATCCTCATCATGGAAGTAAGCGTAAGAAGAACCAGGGCCAAACTGTGAAGCGTACTTATCTGGAATACGTGCAAATGTTGTCAATATGGGACGACTACAAGCTATGTAATACCAATATGACATAACCTCAAATGTTTTAATCGCGACTAAAGTTGTATTTCATTGATATATTTGTTGATAGAACTTACTTTGATACTTTTTGTCTTGTACCATAGTCCAGTCACTAATCTTTCCTAGTCGGTCGCCTTTGCTGAATGGTTGATAGGGCATGTCCCTAAATTGCTCCGGCATTTCACAAGGTCCCCATCCTGTAGGATTATCTTGAATAATCGGGGCTATAAAGCGTATCGGCTCTTCGGCCGGCAATACATGTTCGGACATCGGGATAATTCTTTATTTTAGAATTCAGTAAATATTTTAACTTGTTCAACTTCTGTATAAACTTGCCACACGACACTTTCGCGTAAAATTGTAAATGTCTCATCGGTGTTGCCCACTAAAAAATTAATGATTAGATCTAAACTGAACTGAACTTAGCAAAGACCTATTTCGTATGGGCCATGTTTTATTGTACCTATGAGATATTTGCCATTTTGGATTTCATGGTTATGTTTAACTCAAAAAACAATACGTGTTTTTCTGAAATTGGTAAAACAGTGGATTTATAAATTATTTATTGTTTAATAGATCGTTTTTGAAAAACAGCTTTGCAATTTCGCCTCTGCGAAGATGCGAACGAACGGTAACTTATTCATTCATTTCACACTTGACTTGAAGTGAGTGAATGACTGTACGGAACGGGCAAACAGAGTTTAGTTTATGATTATGACATGTAAAGTAAATTGCAATTGCAGACACGCTACAATATTTTTGAAAATGTAGTGTTTTGTTTTTAATAAAATGTTAATTAAAAAACAAATGTGGGTGTTGATGTGTTGGTAACGATGTTTATGATAATGATATTTATTTTAACTTCTCACAAATCTGAGATTAATAAAATAACCTCATCGTTTGTTTTTCTTTTAGGATTTGTTGTTATCTTGTTTTTTTTTTATTATTTTAATTAAGTACGTGATTTTTATTGATTATCCGATAAGTTTATAACGTTTATAAAAACAGTTATTAGTAACCAGTAGCTGCAGAGCTGAGAGAGAGATAGAGATAGAGCTGTAGAGGAAATGCAATAAAATATATTAAATATGTAAGATAAAAAGCAAAACGGTAACAAAGTATGATTTGGAAGATTAATTATACCTACTTAACCACATACTATACTTGCCATAAACATTCAAGTCAACATAAGTATGTTGTAGAAATAAGTATTTCTTAAAGCAGAATTATTTAACTTTTAAATTAAAAGTTTAATGTTAAGGCAAGTCTAGTCTAAATCTCTATACCAGGTTCCCAAACATTCTTTAACTAAGGTTATTACCTAATTGAAAAAAGGTACAATCACGGAAACCCACGATGTTCCATTTACAGAAAAAAATCACTTGTTCTTTGCAACGAGTCAAACTCCGCATATTCTTACAAATAGCCAATTAGCTAGCATAAAAAGCATTTAGCAGTGTACTTGTTTCGATGCGTTCAAACGAATAGATAAACTTTAAGATTGAACACCGCCAGATTTCCTGATTGTACATTGACGAGTTGTTAAATATGTTACACTAGCTTTCGCCCGCGACTCCGTCGGCGTGGTATTTAAAAAAAACAAAACCAAGTAGCCTATGTGTTCTTCCAGTCTATCCTCTACATCTATGCCAAATTTCATTGAGATTCGTTCAGCATTAGTATGATTTTAAGTATTAGTATGATACGTTTTGCGCCGACGAGATAATTTTATTTTTTCACCTTTCAGATGACATCAAAATATTGTAGCAGAATGAATTAAATGATCGTTACTGTTTTACCCGAAGACTCCTGAAAACCAAAGGTACATATTTAATTTATTGCTTATAATAATAATTCACTTGTTTATTCATAGTCTCACAGCCAAAGAGCAGCACAAACTGTGCCGACCCTCCGTAAGGGATAAGGGCAAGTGGATGATGATTCATAGTGTCACAGTGATTCTATTATATTACTAAGTAGCTATCAATAACATTGCAGTAAATAATAATTACATGCGTCATTACTCATAACAGTTGCAGTAAGGATGGGATTCGGTTTGCGGACGTTGCGAATTGCAATAGGAGATAATGGCTCTAGGTTCATGTGAAAATAACCGTTGAACTCAATATTATCTGATCCGAAGATAAGATAGTTTTAATTATTTTAAAAGAGCATGTGCATCGCCTTTTAAGCATTCTGCATATAAAAATGTCGTAGTAGAGCAAATATAGATCGACATTGATTATTGGCTTGATGCATGCCAATCAAATTTATTGTCATTGACAGTACCGTTGACCGTGAGCGAGTTCAGATTCATTTACAATCTGTAGCTTTAGGCATAATTTATAAGTCTTCTTGTTAAATATAACAGGAATGTCGTTACTAACTTATCTAACTTTGTACGTGCCTCATTTCGTTTAGACTAGGCGTCATTATAGCTTACACAGTTCATATTGGCCTTATCATAAGTACACCTAAGAGTAATAGGAAACTTATACAAAACAAAAACATAGGCCTTTGTGCAGTTGTTTAATCTTTGGACAATTCGTGGAACATTTTTTTTATCTCTCACAAACGTTTTTTAAAAATAAGACAAAATGTGTTATATGTATTGATTACAACAATGTTGCTATAAGGGCTGAAATACACGTCTTGATAATATTTGTGGCGGCTGTTTGGCTTCTATTTCATGTTAATATTAAGAAGAGGAAACCTCTTTGTTTTTGTATGTATTTAAATAACTCAGAAACTGCCAGGCCGATTTTTAAAATTCTTTCACAATTAAAAAAGCTACGGCATCAGTAACATAGGCTATATTTTTTAATGCCATGGAGACGAAGTCGCGAGCAATAGTTGTTTAAATATAGTATGATGCAATTCATTTCGAAATTAATTCATTAGACCCAGACATCGTCGGGGACTCCCGATATTTTTTTTTGTACTGATACCGTGAGGAATTTTGAAATACTAACCTTAATCGACCTTATATTAGTTACTAGCTTTTGCCCGCGATTTCGTCCGCGTGAAATTAGAAAGTTAAAAACTTACTTTGCGTTTCAACCGATTACCAAAAATATTAACTTAGTAGTAATCTACGTAATAACAGAAATCTACTGATACAAGATTCCAAATTTCTTATTGTTTTCCCTGCTTTATTATATTAAAGAAGATTGATTTGTATTTAAAATAAATCAATAACCACTGGGCAGATTTAAAAAAAATCTTTCACATATGAAAAGCTATTTTATCGCTAAGTAACATAGGCTGTATTCTCTATTACTTATAAATTCCACGTGGTCGAAGTCGCAAGCAACAGCTATAAGTTCATTACTTTATTGTCAGTGAAGAGTCTGTTATTGTTTGAAAATTTGATTCTTCAGGTTTACCATGAGACCATAATATACTGTCAATGCAAGGTCGAGAAGCGAAATGAGTAGCAATTCAAACCACTTTTATTAAATTTCCCTAATTTTTAAACTTATTCTTACACATAAGTCCCAGGCACAACTCTCGGGGAAAGCCCTTAAAGAATTGTTGAGGGCCGTTATAAGCGATGAATATCTTTGAATTTGGCCAGTGTAATTTCATCATTCGTTTGCGTTACTTGTGCTTGTGCGTCTGTGAATATTTGTTCTTTAATATTTCATAATATTGAAAGTGTATATTTTTTTAATTCAGTCTTTTCTTTTAAGACAATGGAACGTGGCAAAGGTGCACAGTATCTTGTAGCGTTTTCTGGTAAGTTGTAATCTCTTTTAACTATAAAATTAAATGCTCTATTAACAATTGCAGATAAATTACTATGTTATAGGGAAAAGTTTTACATTTAACGTAAATAAAAATAATAATAAATCTTTACAGTATCGCTGGCAACACTGACGATGGGTGCGTCGTCGGCGTGGCCCACAATCGTGTTGCCGCGTTTTAAGGGAAACGAATCAAGTATTCAAGTCACAGATGTAAGATTTAGAAGCGGCTAGTATAGTAATTTTTAATCTAGGATAAAAATCTTCTAATCGTGAATTTCCACTGCTAAAGCTCCTGTATTAATGCTGTCTCAGGTTTTTGAAGGAAAATAAAAGGGACGATAATACGTTTTGTGTGATTGCGTCGCAAAGGAAACCAAGTCCTAAGTTGCTAATTGCTATAATTCCGAAATATCTTTCCAAATCCACTTGATGATTTTGATGGGACTCACTGCAAAGAAGTGAGCGTGATAATCGAAATTATTATATTTCAATGTTATTAGTAAAAATTTTATGCTGAACAAGTCTTTAAATTGGAATTAACGGACATTTCTGGGATGTAGTGTAAAATAAATCAATTTGTAGATATTTAAGAAATTTTACTATCACATAATACGATATGTTAAATATAGAATATGTTTTTTTTTTTAACATTGTAGGACGTTGTGTCATGGATGGTGGCAGTGAGTCCATTGGGTTTTCTGTCCGGCAGTCTGGTCACTCGGTACATTTCCGACAACTTTGGACGCCGGGCCACTGTTCTAGGCAGTGCAGCGCCTTTTACACTTGGAACGGTGAGTGAAAACATTTAAAAAGATGGGGTTGAGATAGAGAGGCATTTGCCGTTTTACATACTGACTAGCTGTCGCCCGCGACTTCGTCCGCGTGGAAGTGGATAGCCTATGTGTTCTTCCAGAATATCTCCTACATCTATGCCAAATTTCATCAAAATCCGTTCAACTGTTTAGGCTATAAACTCCAACAAATATTAATTTCATTCATCTAAACTTTCACATTTATAATACTAGTAAGATAGTAAGAAGTAAAATTGCTATAAAATTGTATATTTTTAGATGTTCGTGATATATGCTGCTTATGGTTGGATGCTTTGTATTACAAAGTTTCTTTGGGGATTTGGAACAGGCATGTTATCTACTGTAAGTATTTAAACATACAGTTTTGTAACACTCCAGTGGTAGGGCGCTTTAGGGCCGCCCAGGGCGCCTGATAGAAACTGTCGCCCTACAAGTCAGCGAATTACAGTGGTCCAGAGCCCATAGCACTCAAATACTTATAACATTTTTGAGTATAAGACTACTAACCCGTCATATATTTTTTTAGAGGGACATAATCTGTACTAATAAAAAGAGAAAAGATTTTTATTTTTGTATGTACTGAAATAGCTCAAAAACAACTGGGCCGATTTTAAATATTCTTTCCCCGTTAGAAAGGTAATTTTGTGTCTGGTAATCTGTGAGTAACATAGGTCACTAAGATAAATTACCATTGCAACGGTAGCATGTGCTATATTTTTTAATTCATGCGAGCGAAAGTATTATATACTAGCTGTTCCCATGGGCACGAAAATTATAAAAATTTCATTTTATTGTTCATATTTGTCAAGTTATCAATTGCAAATGTCAAAATGACATATTGACAAAGCATGGCAACCTTGCTTCCTTGATGTTGGCAGCAACTTATGGTCTCTTTCCCACATTAGGGTTTTTATCCAAAATTTTTACCCCTAAGTTCAATGGCGTGAAAATATATAGCCTAAAGCGTGACGTAAGTGTAGGGTATTTTTATAAAAAAAAAGAGTTATTTGAAAATATGCTGTGATTGCTGACATCTTAGGCAACAAAGAAGTGAAGTGAAGAAAGAAGTGTGTGTTTACGCTTTATTATAATAGTATAGAGTATAGATTTCACCATTTTTTTTCCAGGTGATCACAATGTATTTAATAGAAATATCATATAAGGAGCTGAGAGGATCATTGAATGTATTTACAAGATTTACCTTTAACTTTGGCAATTTGCTAGTGATGTGTGTTGGTCCGTTTCTATCGTATTCAGTTTTGAATTACTCTTTGCTCCCTTTGCCTGTGATATTCTTTCTCGCGTGTTGGTGGATACCAGAATCGCCGTATTACCATCTCAAAGAGGGTCGAGTGGACGCCGCGAGAGAAGAACTGGCGAAATTAAGAAATTCAGACGATATTGTGAGTAATTAAATTTACAGTTTAAAAATACTTGATAATATATTGTGAAATTAAATTTTAGCGAATAACACTAGATTTGGGGACGCAGTCCGCGAGAATTTAATAAAACAAAATCAAATAGCCCATGTGATCTTCCAGACATGCTACATCTATACCAAAATTCATCGTGAATCAGCTGTTTAGAAATATCTTACTAATATTATTAATGCGCAAGTTAAGATGGATGGATGGATGTTTGTTAGAGTTTGTAGCCTAAAGGGCTAAAGAGATCTCGACGAAATTTGGCACAGATGTAGAGGATAGTCTGGAAGAACACATAGGCATAGACTTTTGTTTTTTTTAAATTCCGCGCGGACGGAGTCGCGGGCCAAAGGTTGTATCTTTATAAACTTTCGCATTTATGATATTAGTATTTTATTAATATTGATAAACTTTTTTTTTTTAATTCCAGGCATTAGAAGAAGAATTGCAGATAATACAAGATGGTGTCAAAAACGAGATGCGTTCTTCAAGTTCGGCAAAAGAATTGTTCAATGGCAGACAATACAGAAAGGCTGTGGTTATAGCTGTTGGTACGTAACGTTAGATTTACTTTTTTTTAAGAGGAATTCGATAGTTAGACATCTACCATATACTAATGTCATAAGTAGGAAATATCTTTAATATGTAATATCTTTGTATGTATTGAAATAACTCAAACATTCTTCTCTCTCTCTCTCTCAAAACAAATTTTTCAACATTAGAAAGTTAGGTTATCGCTGGGTAACATAACCTATATATTTAAATTTCACGTGGATGAAGTCGCGAACAACAGCTATGGTATATCATATGATGGTCGCGGAAGATTGCATAAGCGTTCCCGTGACCCAGCCACAGGCGAACAGAAGGGACACCGCTGGGTTTTTAGTGGGTATTCCGGCCATTTTCCATCTTCTGGCCGGCGAGTCCCACATACCCCCTCCCCCTGGTAAGGGGGGGGATGCGTAAAGGCATTTTCCCAGCGTGAAAAAAAAAAATGGTATATCATATGATGTACTAGCGTCCTCCTTATTATACCATTTTCTTGGTCATGACAAGAAACTGATATACGTTTGTGATTTTCTTATATAGTTGCATATTGAAAATGTTTCAGGTTTGAAAATGACTCAAATCCTGACCGGCGGCATGGCGATACAGCAATATTTGATAATTATTGTACAAGAGAGCAAATTCAAAATGGCGCCCGCGACTATAGCTATCGTGTTCGGAGCTGTCAAGTTTGGTGTCTGTTAGTATATATACAGATTTACTTGTATTCAAAATTTAATAATGTAATGAAACCATCAATTCCAAATGATATCAGAACTGTTGTATAACGAAAAGAGTCATAATCAATTTCTATTATTATCATTACTAGGTTTTTTGCTTGGTCTGTGCAGAATTAAAAAAATGAATAAGTAGCCTATGTGTTCCAGACAATGTTCAATATCTATAAGAAAGTTGGAGATATGCAAATGGAAATTTATAATATAAATTAGAAGTTTGTAAAAAAGTAGGGTTGTAACGGAACTCCGCTTCCGCATCCGCAAGTGCGGAACTTCCGCAAGTAATGATAAATCCGCATCCGCCTTCGTTAAAATGGCTTCCGTTACAACCCTAGTATATAAGAGATATTGTAGAAAATTATAGAATTACGATTAACTGACAATTTTTTTTTCCAGCTTTAATATCATCTATTTTAGTGGACAGAATTGGACGTCGACCGTTAATAATTCACTCGCTTGTTGGTACCGGCGTCTCATACTTCATCGTTGGTTCTTATTTCTTCTTTTTGGAAGTTGTACGAATCGAACACGAATCCCTCAGCCCTTACGGAATTCTCACTTTCATTGGCATCCTCTTTTCAACAATTATATCCACTTTAGGGTTCAACTCCGTTATAGGTATTGTTCCCGCGGAAATCTTCCCTATGAACGTAAAAGCGGTAGCTATGTCGTCATTAAATATCTTAGGGGGGTTATTAGGTTTCGTTGTAGGTAAAGGTTACAAATATATGAAAGATTTGTTAGGATTAACGGGTGTTTTTTGGATATTTGCTTTTGTGACGTTCAGTGGCGCTGTTTTTACGCATTTCTTTGTACCCGAAACCCGTAATAAGAGTTTATATGACATACAAATTTTATTACAAGGAGATTTATATATAGAAAATGTAAATAAAAAGAATGATCTGGTATCAGATGAAGAGACTGAGTTGACTGAGTTGAACGGAATTAACGATGTAAAGAATAAAATATAATATACTAGCTTTCGCCCTCGACTCCATGTGGAATTAAAATAAAAACAAAAGTAAGTAGGCCTATGTGTTCTTCCAGACATGTTCTTCACCTATGACAAATTTTATAGAAATCCGTTCAGCCGTTTAGACAACAAACTCTGACAATCTTCCATACATCCATCCATTTAAACATTCGCATTTATAATATTAGTAAGATTAACATACTTATAATCATTAAAATGAATACAACAGCCGAATTTTGAAACGAATCTTAAACATTTCGCTTCGTAAACGCCGTTTACAATCTGACAGACGTTAAAATGTTAATTATATTTAAGCGTGACCTTATCACATAAGACAGTGTTTATTGTTAAAATGTTGATTCAGTATTCGGACTGTAAGTTTTATATAAAATTTATAATATTTTTAATAATGCTATATTAATATGTTAAGAGAAAGTTAAAAACTAAAATGTATTCTCTTGCTTACCAAATACGCTAAAATGTTTTGTAACTATTATTTTTAAGAATACTTAAGTATTAATGTAAATTTGTAAAACTTAGAGCACACCTTTTGACGACTAAAAAATCGCACAACTGTTGTGCGATTGTGCGCGTCCATATAAGGGGCCGTCCATAAATTACGTCATCGATTTTTTCAGACTTTAAACCTCCCCCCCTACAATCATCCTATCGTCGTTTCCTAATAACCCCCCCCCCCACTTCCCCCAAAAGTTGACGTCATTACCAGTTTGACGAAATTAAAACATTGCAGATTTGAGAAAAATAGGGTATTATATGATTAAAACACTTGGTTATAGAATCACCTTTATTATTTTTACTTGTATGTTTATTATGAGTTATTTTAGTATTGTACGCGCCTTAGCCACCTCTCACATTTGCAGTCTCACTAGGTGTGCTGGAAGAAATTTTAGAAATAATCTTTTTGTACGTGAACAACAAACTATAAATAAATAAATAAGAATGACGTCAATTTCGAAACACCCCCC